TCATGGGCGTAGCCAGGATCTTTGTTGGGAGAGCAGACCTTTTTTTGGGGGCCAGAACCTCAGTTTGCTATGTATTTTTACAAATTTTTATTGATGGGGGGCAGTTGCCCCTTCCTGCCCCCCCCCTTGACTATGCCCATGTACCTAATTAAGTTAAAAGTTAATAAGTTCCCTTGGTGGCCTCTTTCCTTTGGAGGCATGTGAAAAATGCACGGGAGCAGGGGAAGTTCAAGGTTTGGGTATCTGCTGCCCTTGGTCTTTTCTCAGGCATTCCTTAGCTGATTATACCCTTTGCCTTTCAACAACACAAGCTTTGTATGTTGTGTCCTGTGAAAGATCGTTTCCCCCTAACTACCTTTCTAGGGTGCCTCTTGGTCAGCTACCGTTTGGATAAATACTTTGGATAAATACTTTGAAAAGGTATTTTAATATGAAGTTAATTTTCTTCCTGTTTTTTTTTAAAGAGTCTTTAATCGTGGTCCAAGAATCTTGAAATTAGGGTGATGTATTGCCAAACAGAGGAAATCCCAATGAATTGGAAGGGCTGGGCTACTAATGGGTTCTTCTGATCATGGCGCAATTCAGAGTGTTGGTGCTGACCTTTAAAGCCCTAAACGGTCCTGAATACCTGAAGGAGCGTCTCCACCCCCATCTTTCAGCCCAGACACTGAGATCCAGCGCCGAGGGCCTTCTGGCGGTTCCCTCATTGCGAGAAATGAGGTTACAGGGAACCAGACAGAGGGCCTTCTCTGTAGTGGCGCCCGCCCTGTGGAACGCCCTCCCATCAGATGTCAAGGAAATAAGCAGGTATCCTATTTTTAAAAGACAGCTGAAGGCATCTCTTTTTAGGGAAGTTTTTAATATTTAATGCTGTATTGTTTTTAACACTCGACTGGGAGCTGCCCAGGGTGGCTGGGGAAACTCAGCCAGATGGGTGGGGTATAAATAATAAATTATCATCATCATCATCATCATCATCATAGAATCGTAGAGTTGGAAGGGATACCCAGGGTCATCTAGTCCAACCCCCTGCAATGCAGGAATCATCTCAACAACTTCTTCTTCTTCTTCTTCTATCACTCGTAGCTGAGTAAGATTGTCTTCCATAAACACGGTTTTAACAATGAGTCCGTAAGTGACTGTGGAGGCCAATTCTGGACCCGCACATCCTTCCACAGTGGGAACATTGGTTTCTGGGCGGGAGTTGATCACGGTGTGGATTTGCCAAGCGGGCCTTCCTCTTAGCACGTTTCTACCTTGCATCCTGAGTTCGAGTGTCTTCAAAGCCCATGACACCTTTGGTAAAGGTTGTTCTCCAATTGGAGCGCTCGCAGGCAAGAGTTTTCCAATTGCAGTTGTTTTTACTACATTTTTTTTAGATTTGCCTTGAGATAGTCTTTAAACCTCCTTTGCTGACCACCAGCATTACGATTTCCATTTTTAAGTTCGGAATAGAGTAGTTGCTTTGGAAGTTTGATAATCAGGCATCCAAACAACATGACCAGTTCAATGAAGTTGATGTTGAAGAATCATTGCTTTGACGCTGGTGATCTTTGCTTCTTCCAGTACACTGGTATTAGTTCGCTTGTCTTCCCAAGTGATAGAATCCGTGACAGACGGCCATCCAACCTCTGCTTAAAAACTTCCAAGGAAGTAAAGTCCACCACCTCCTGAGGTAAAAAAGCTCTTACCGTTGGAAAGTTATTGTAACTTGTAGCCATTGGGTCCTACCCTCCAGAGCAGGAGGGAACAAGCTCCCTTCCTCTTCCATGCGACAGCCCTTGACATATTCGAAGATGGCTATCATATCATGACCACATGGCAGGACCACAATGTATCCCAAGGTTGGACCTGCTGCCTGCCACCTTAGCCACATACATTTCACCAAAAAGGACAAGATTCATCACTTTTTTAAAAAGACACAGGTTTGTCTAAAATTTGCATGTGTTAATTTATAGGTATAGACACAAATTCAGAAATAATTGTCATAATTTAAAATAGAGATGCAATGCCTATCACCATAGTGAGGAAGACTATGATCTGGTGAACCTATGTGACTGCTTAGTCTAGGTGCTGCTATCTGTGGATAGGCAGTTTCAAAGCCCTTGCTCTCTTTTCTTATGGTCTGGAACAGGGGTCAGCAAACTTTTTCAGCAGGGGGCCGGTCCACTGTCCCTCAGACCTTGTGGGGGGCCAGACTATATTTTTTGGGGGTGAATGAATTCCTATGCCCCACAAATAACCCAGAGATGCATTTTAAATAAAAGCACACATTCTACTCATGTAAAAACATGCTGATTCCTGGACCGTCTGCGGGCCAGATTTAGAAGGTGATTGGGCCGGATCTGGCCCCTGGGCCTTAGTTTGCCTACTCATGGTCTGAAAACTAGGCCTTACAAGGAATGCTCAAAGGAGCTGTGTATGTTTAGCCTAGAAAACAGGAGACTGAGAAGAGTTATGATAGCCATCTTCAAATATCTTAAGGGGTGTCACTGAGTTGGTCAAAACAGCTGCCTTCGTGAAGCATGTGTGCCTATGGTTAAAAGGTCTGTGGTTACAGGAATCTAGGGATGCTTTCACACTTAGAACAGCAACATGGGCCAAAGGGAGCCGTGATACTAAAATACACTGTCGGGCTGTACAAGGAAAAGAGGAGAAGGAGATAGGACAGCCATCTTCAAATATCTCAAGGGCTGTCACAAGGAAGAGGGAAGAGCTTGGTTTCTCCTGCTCTCAAGAGGTTTCTCCTGCTCACTTGAAAGAATGTCTTCAAGTTACAAGAAAGGAGATTCCGACTAAATATTAGGAAACACTGTCTGACAGTAAGAGCTGTTCAACAGTGGAATGGCCTCCCTCGGGAAGTTCTGGACTCTCCTTCCTTGGAGGTTTTTAAACAGGGGTTGGATGGCCATCTGTCATGGATGCTTTAGTTGTAATTCCTGCATCGCAGGGTGGCTGGACTAGATAGATGACCATTGGGGTCCCTTCCAACTCTAAGATTCTAAGATTCTTTATCTTTAAAGTGATGTCCTCTCTGAAGCAGGATGCATAGCTACCCCACGGACAACTTCAGGTGCTTCTGTGGGAAGCCAAAAGAGATCCAATTAGAATCAGGCCTACAGATGGGAGGTGCTGTTTCTCTCAGCCTACTGGATTGGTGGGAGGGAATGCCAGGAATCCAGTGATCCATCTGGATCCAAGCCTTACATGCACTGCACAAAGCCACATATAACAATGTATATATCCAATGTATGTATGCATCTTCGGAGTAGCCAGATGAAACTCTGTTTGGACTTAATAACAAAACTTCACCAGTTTCTGGAGATTCTCTAACATAGCTAATAAACCAGCTGAAAGCCTTCCGGCTTTCTACCCGTATCTGGGCAACCTTGGCATGGTGCAATTTGAATTTTGCTGCTTTTGCCAACCGTGTGTTAAATCCAGATCTTGCATATGGTGTTCCCAGCGTGCATTTGACACTGTCCGTGAAGACCAAAGCTCCAAAAGAAAACCAAGGCTAGCTTTGTGCTGCGATTCATACAGAGCAATTACACCCCCACCCCACTCCAAAGGAGATGTATTTCATTCCTCGTAGAACTCTGCAAACTTTTTTTTTAATAACAAAAAACAACAACACAATGTCCCCTCATAGCTTGTATGTCTGAATAATCAGACATTTGAGTGATCCTTTCATCTCTTCCAGAGGGGTTTGTGGAGACCCTCTGAACTGGGATGACAGGATTTGGAACTGGAGAGTGGGCTCTCTTTGTTTGTTATGGCCTATCATCAGTCAAATCCAGTGTGTAGGTTAATAAGGCTTAAACTTTAAAGGAACGGTGAGCACCTGATTGACAAGCCTGCAAATAATAATCCAGTGGGAAGTTTTGTGCTGGTGAACTTAAAGCGTTCACTGAGATGCAGTCTAATTTTATAGCCAATTATATTAATGCAGGAAATCTCATTAGGTACGTTAAAGCCAATATCGAGACAGCAGATTATTATTTCACGTGAATTCCTGTCTTAGAAACCTGCAATTCTATGCTTAAATATCCTTTTTTTAAAAAACCCTCCTTTAGATAGCACAAATAATGTCTTTCTATAAACCAACAATTGGTAGCAATGAGTTGGCAAAATAAGTCAAATATGAAACGGAGATAGTCTTATTAGCTCTAATTATGCTATCAAATATACAGCTTCTTTGAGATGAGTTCGTTTCTATGTGTGCAAAGGATGCACAATTTTAATTTAAATGGACACAAGGCCGTAAGAGCATCAGGAACCAATGGCTTCAAGTTACAAGAAAAGGAGACTCTGACAAAAATACGAAAAAACCTTCTGACAGTAAAAGCTGTTCGACAACGGAACTGTCTCCCTCGGGAGGTTATGGACTCTCCTTCCTGGGCAGGCCGGGTCGTCCTGTTATATACCTGCTGGGATTGACAAGGCATCTGACCCTCACCTGAATCTCATAGCTCTCCTGATGAGTGCTTTGGTCTGCAGCCACAGTGTGGAAATAAACAATGAGATTGCCCCACCAGATACCAGACATTCTACTATTCAAATTAGGCCCCAGTGTTTTTGTTACAGTCCCCTTCTCAATTAAGCAATCAATTTTAATCTAGAATTTAAAATCTCAAAACTTTCTTATTTGTTAATTCAAGCAAGTAAACTACTGCTCTCACTTCATTACAAACAGTATTTCTACCTGCAACACACTTGAGCAACCTGCTCCTCCTCCTTTCACAGATATTTTGTTACCATTTGCAACTGTAACTGCCTCTGATTAGTTATCATTTAACTCTTGGGCAAATTAATTAGCATCACACATTATGTGCATGGAAGTTGCCGAAACAATTAACCAACTAGAAGGATTACTGTTAATAGCACCAGTTTTCCTATAACTTGATATTGCTGGGTAGTTTTGATGAACTGCAAAAGCATTTTTAGTTTGCTTTCTGTTGCCACCCTGGAACTTTTCTTTTTTAGTGCCACTTTGTTTTGTAATGATTCCTTGCAAATGAAGGAAAACTGTTCTGCTTGTATATGTTGATAATATAATTTTGGTTACTGACAGCAAACAAGATTGTACAAAAACCAGATTGGGTGCAGGCCTGGCCAGGACATAGGCATCCGACTGTGACAAAGGTGACCTGTGTGCTTGCTTGGTTGATTAACAGCTGTTGGGAACTTCAAGATCCCTGCTCTCTCTTCTTATGGTCTTTGTACTGGACCTGGAGACTCCAATAGAGAGCATTCCATGTCAAGAAGGAGGGCAAGTGGGCACTCTATCAACTGACAGGGCAGGAGTTACACAGGGTAGGGCCTTTTCACTGGTGGTGCCCATTGTATGCCTCGCTCTTCCCAGACTTGCTCTCTTTTGGCCTGTATTTTGGAGCTTTAGGAACACTTTGGAAGAACTGGTTGACAAGTCTTATCATTGCTGACATATGAGCGGATTTTATTTGCTGCTATTCTGTGCTTCTGGTGCACCAGGGTTTACACCAGCATAATAGAGTTGGCCAGGATGCCAGAAGGGATACAATTTATGAGCTTTCTCCATTATCTGCACAGCAGGTGGTGTTCAGTCAACAGTGCAAAGGCTGAGCTGAAGCATTCTCTGCTGGTTACCTGCTTTCAGCAATAGGGGTTACTGTTTGGTAGTACCCAATTGGTTAGCTGTAAGATTCTAGAGCTCCCTATTGGTGGCTCTTAGGTAATTCACAAAATACATAGTCCATTCATAAAACACAGTGCTTATTCATAAAGCAGTAACATAAATCTCCATTGCTACATATTGGGTGTATATTTCAGTGGTTGAATGTACAGGTTTATGGCCATGCTGTAGCATAGTGCTTATGTGACTGTGAATAAAAGGTGGCTGGGCTCATTGTCTGGGGGTTTGGGGGAGGGAAGAGGTGACAAAACTGATTTCCAATAAGCGCCCCTCTTTATTTCCAAAACAAGTTCTTGAGTCTGTACTCTGAATATTGACACCAGGGACCTAGAAGGTGCAGGGCTTGTCAGTCATCATCAGGGCTGACCTTAAGGCAATTGGAGCAAGTGGGCCAAATTGGGCCCTGTGTGCCACTCCTAAGGGGGCCCCCGCAACAGGGCAATCTAGATGGATTTTATTTATATCTATAAGATTTTGCAGACTTTGGCTGTGAACTGGGGCCCTACAAAAAAAAATAATTCAGGTTGCTCCACACTGCTTCAAATTGGGCCCCACTGGCTAGTCCTGAGTCTCATAGTTGCTGGGCCTGAGTTGCCCTGCCCTTGCATGAAGTCTTGGGTTTACAATTTTGGAAGAGGGGAGACTGCGGCACTGAGGAGAGGGCAGGCTGGTGAGGCCCCCTAGATTTAGAGGCCCTAGGCTTCAGCCTACTTAGCCTTTACATAAATCCGGCACTGCTGCTGATATTCCCTCTGCATTCCTTCCCAAACTAGAGCGCAATTTTCAGAGGTAAAAGTAAAGGCAAAGGAACCCTGGATGGTTAAGTCCAGTCAAAAGTGACTATGGGGTGTGGCGCTCATCTGACTTCAAGTTGAAGGAACTGGCATTTGTCCACAGACAGCTTTTCGAGTCATGTGGCCAGCAGGACTAAACCGCTTCTGGCGCAATAGAACACCAAATCACAGAATCACTGCCCAAGCCTCAGAACTGCCAAGTGAACCTTAATGGTTCGGCTGGTCAGCTGGAAAAGTGTCCCTAACCAAAAAAGAGTAAGCCATTTTAAAGCATCCTATTATGAAACCATTGAGCAATGCCTTCCTTTTTTATTTTCCTCTGTTGCCAGTGTTGTGCATCGCAGTGTACTCATGCGACTCAAAACACTTCACCAAAGTCTTGCAAATTTCACAGCTACCATATCAGGCTTCTCTGAACCAGCCAACCTGTCAGGAACTACAGGCCGATGCCCTGTGTGGCAAGCAGAGTAAAGTGAAAGGTAAGGGCAAAACCTACAGGGCAACTGTAGGCACTCAACATAGTGCATTCAGGTAGGATGTTCTTTTTGTATAGTCATGCATGCAAGCATCATCCCAACAGCAAAATGGTGCAATAGTTCTGCTTGCTGACATGAGAACTGTTAGTTTTCCAGCAACTGCATTTTGCAATTGGAGCAGGAGGAAAGTGTAATTTCCCCAAAATGGGACAGGATCTTCTGAGTGGAGTGATGCTGGCCACACCGTTTTCCCAGGACAATGACAAGTGTCTGTGAAAGCCTGTTTCAAAAAAGGAGAGAAGGCACCATTAGGCAGTGGGTCGCTTTGTATGTATTAGGAATCCAAATAGTAGGTTTTGTTTTTCTGCTCTGTTGATTGACATTCCTGAAGTGCATTTTTGATTGCAAAACATCCCAGTTTTGTTATTATCATTTAATAAGACAGCATCAAAAAGAATGACTTACCAAATCTCCAGTTCCAGCTAGCAGTGGTTCTAACTGCTTTACAGTGCAGTGCCATCTTCTGGTTATTGAGAAACTTTTTTGTGATCTGCGATCTGCAACACCCACAAACAGAAGCTCTTCCTAAAATTCTGTGTCATGATGTAAAATTAATATGGAAACATCATTATTGTTCTTTTTCAATAGCCACAGATTGTAAACATAGGTTAGTCAGAAAACAATTACTAGATTTAAAGCACTCTGCTTTATTAATGGATCAATATGTATTAGATATGACAGAGATAGATAGATAGATAGATAGATAGATAGATGATATATAGATAGAGAGATATAGATAATGTGGAATATTGTGGTGGGTTTCCTATCAGTTTTCTGTGAAGAGGACTATCATTGAGGGTTGCATCAAGGCCAGATACTTGGACTTGAGGAAGGACTGTCAGTAGCCCAGAATATTCAGGTAATCTGTTTCCATGGAATTCTTAATTGTTAATGCTTCTTGATACATGACCAGCTTTGTTGTTCTGAATAGAAGACAACTGGTATATCTTCCACTGCTAAGGAAGAAAAGAAACAATAGAAACTGCAGCTTGATGTGGGAATACAGTTTGGGAGAGACAAACAATAAAGCAGGCTGAGTTTTCTGAGGGCTCTGTAAAGGAAGACCATCATCTAGGCTCAACCTGTGTAACTGTAAATAAACATAAATATTACATAAATGCCACAGAAACTTTTTCCCCTTAAATTTTTTATTGATTTTATATTTTCAAAATCAATTTTCCAATATCAATACTAAACATTCATTTTTCAATTCACCCCCTCCCTGTAGACTTCCCTCAGCTTCCATTTCTGGTTTATTACATCAAATGATACATTTGATACATTTGATACATAATACTATGTTATCACATTGTTATTTTTCTTGTTTTGTGTAAATAAAGTTTTAAATGTTTTTGTGTTTTGTGTAAATAAAGTTTTAAATGTTTATTTAAATCCTGCCAACGAGTCCATTTTTTTGTTGTTTCTGCAAATATATTGTAAAAGGTTCCCATTCTTTTTCAAAGTCCCTATTATCCTTTTCTCACAATTTGTCCGTTAACTTTGCTAACTGCATAGTTCATTAGTTTTTCTTGCCATTGTACTTTAGATGATACTTCTCCAGTCTTCCAATTCTGTGCCATTAGAATTCTTGCTTCTGTTGTAGCATACATAAATAATGTTCCTTTTTCTTTCAGCAGCTCTTGTCCTAAAATACCTAACAGAAAAGCTTCTGGTTTTTAAACAAATGTTATTTTAAACATTTTTTTCAGTTCATTTTATATCATCCCCCCTTTTTTAATAATCTTGCAATCCCACCACATATGATAAAATGTACCTTCCCCTTCTTTACACCTCCAACAGTTCTTTTGTTCTGTTTTATACATTTTTGCCAGTTTTACTGGTGTGATATACCATCTGTACATCATCTTCATGTAATTTTCCTTCAATATTATGCAATCTGTAAATTTCAAATTCACTTTCCAAAGTCTTATCCAATCCTCAAACTGTATATTATGGCCTACATCCTGTGCCCACTTATTCATTACTGATTTGACTTCTTCATCTTTGGTTTCCCATTCCAACAGTATATTATACGCCTTCTTTAATAGGTTGCCACAACAACAACTTTTATTATTTGTACCCCGTCCATCTGACTGGTTTGCCCCAGCCGCTCCATTTCCCTCAAAGAGAAATTTGGTCCAGGTACCTGGAACTTCTCGCACCTTAGAGACTTGTTGCTATGTCCCCATCGCAGGTTAGAACATGCAACGATGGCGAGTGGGCGACCTGAAGGACCAAATTAAGGCACCAGGAAACAGTAACGGTTGTCTCTAACAAAGTCATTGCGTTAGCACAAGGACTTGCCCAGTCCTTCCTCTCCCTCTCCTCTCCCTGTTTCCCCACCTCCCAAAGAAATACGTTCCAGAGGATTGGGGCAGGGGAAAACCTGGAATTGAATAATGTGGAGGGGATGGAGGTATGTAGAAAAAAAGTGGCTTCGAAAATAGGATCAGGAAAGTGGAAGGGGGGTTCTTAGTTGCATGGCGGGGAGAAGTGGAAGCTGTAGGGCAGGCATCCCCAAACTCGGCCCTCCAGATGTTTTGGAACTACAGTTCCCATCATCCCTGACCGGGAGTTGGGGAGTTGTAGTCCCAAAACATCTGGAGGGCCGTGTTTGGGGATGCCTGTTGTAGGGGTCTAATGTGGGGTTGGGTGCTGGTGAGCAGAGAGAGCTTGAGGGCATATGCCCTTACGTATGCATGCCCACAAGTACCTGTTGCACAGAAGTGGCGCCGAGTTCTGAGCGACATTGAGGGGGCCTCAGCACGTGGGTGTGACGTCACATGTGCAACACACATGTGTGACATCACACATGTTGGGAAGAGGCCCTCCACCACTGTAAGGAGGTCCAGCCGAACCCAGCCCCTCAAGTCTGGGGGCCTCAGCCCCATCCCAGCATATTGGAAGGGTGGCTGAGCTGCCTTCAGCCCATAGAACTGGCGCATATGCTACACAGGGAGCTTCTTCTTGGAGACTAGGGTTTCTCAGGACTTCTCCCACCACAGAACTGGGGGAAATGCCCTCTCTGAAGCCAGGGAACTTCATGGAGCGATCTCTGAAAGCAGTAGCTGTAGAAAACAGAAAGTGGCAAAGTCCCAATGAATGCGCTGAAGAACAGGGGCTCTGTCAGAGATCTGTGTCTCCTGGCCATTATCTGTGTGCTGCCAACTAACATGCAAGAGTAACATGCAACGTGTGAAAGTGTAGGCCTTCTGTGTTGCTTGCTTGTAAATAGAGGATGCCTTTGTTGTGCTTTCTTTTCCATTTTGGTTGGCTAATGTCTTCTCTTTCTCTTGCATCCTGGTAAGTGGATTGCGTTCGCCGTGCTCTCTGTGAGCTTTGGCACCGCAGCTTCATTTCACCTCCCTCTGTGGTCCAGAGCGACAGAGAAAGGGCAGCCAGAACAACTCATGGCTCTGCGTAAATCAGGCAAATGTCATAACGGCAATAGACCCTAATCTGGATTGTTTCACAGTGCGTATGTCTTGAGGCGTCGAGGAAATGAATTGGCTATTTCAATCAATCAAGGTTTCAGTTAACTCAAATGTGAACGAGATTTCATGTTAAGCTATTTCCATTAACGTCCCGGGGAAGACAGGTTGTACATCTCCCAAATGTCATCCAGAGGCATGTTTAAGTATTCTGCGAGCCACATCCACTGTGGAACTATTTCCATTGCTGAAGAGTCACATCTCACAATATTCTCATGATCTTTCTACTGGAAATAATGGGAGTGGGGAGAAACTAAACATTCTCACATTACTTCCAGCCAAAATGCTATAAAAATACAAAATGGATAGCTAACATTCTCATAGCATTTTAATGGGGGAAGGCCTAAGAAAACATTTTTTCTCATGACATTTCCTGTGGAAGTGGGTGGACCTGTAAGGAGCTGTTGTGAGCATCTACTCTCAGCAGGAATGAGAATATCTCGGGGGTGAACTCTCCAGTGATAGCTAGACAGGAAGGTTCCCAGAGAAGCAGGGGGGGGGGAATCAGGTTGTGCTCCCTACTGCGATGGGAACAATGATGAACAGGGAGCATTTCACAGAAGGTCAAAAGATAAGAAAAATTCTCAGTGCTAGAGTATGAACACTGTTGGACTTGGTTTGTATACCTCAACCTATGGCTTTATATAGCTCTTGGCTGACATAGCAGATCTCTCTAGCTCCATGGTAGAGCTTCTGCTCTACATGCAGAAGGTTACAGGTTCAATCCCTGGTATCACCTGGGAAGGATTCCCTTTCTGAAATCCTGGAAAACCACGGCCAGTCAAATAGGCAATATTCAGCTGGGTGGATCATTGGTCTGAGTATGTATAAGGCAGCCTCCTCTGTTCTGAGGGCACACACACGCACACCAATTCCTAGGATGTGCACTTTCACCCTCTGCAGACAAGCCAGTGACCCCTGCTACCCATAGCAAGAAATACCTTATTTCCCTAGGGCCCTATGGGACAGCTAGACTAGAGGTTTCTCAAGTGAATTGGTAATAAGTGGAATGGTAAGCCAGAGGAACAAGTGGAGGCAGCTGCCTACCACAGACAGCTGTCAACAAGATCATAGCAGAGATACAGGATGGCACCAGCTCAACATGAATGACCTTAAGGACCTTGCAAAGAGGTCCAGGATGCACTTCAAAGAGACAATTATGACCACCAGTGGAATAAATTGCTCAGCTAAATGATACTCCATTCTTGTCATTGGACCTCTGCGGCAATGTATGCCGGCATTATCCCACTCAGTTGCTGGCAAATGTTGTATGGAGTCTCCGGTGGTGGAGCAGGCTTGATCAGGTGCTTCCTGATCTATGCTCAACTCAACACAGTTGTCTCTTGATTGCACGTCAACAAAGCCCTCCTCTTTTTTGTGTGACTGACCTGAATTCAAGCTCCAGAAACTGACTTGCATGATTTTCTGTTCTTCCCTCCATCTCCTTTCCCTATAATATTCACCTGGACCACCCTTTGGTATCCATGTCTCACCACAACAAGGTGATTTTTTCTGCACTGAGCTTTTCTAGCACATGCATTTGCTTTCTTCCAGAGGAATGCTTTTTTGGAACATGTTTTATTGGTTTTTATACAGATACGATGTCCACTAAACACTTATCCAGCAGTGCATCTAATGGTGATTGTTTTATCCATTCTCTGTAGACATACGCTTAAACATTTCACATTCAAACATCTTACTTAGTGGAACCCCTCCACTGAGAATATCCTGCCTTAGCCCTGCTATCTTTGGACATAGGCTCCACCCTGAACCACAGCAAACTAGTAGGCTTCTTACTGACCGCAGCATGATTAGTGATAGCTCAGCAATGGAAGAACCAGACTGAAGTACCCCTGAACTTATGGGGAAATTAATATCTGGGATAGAGCAATGTCTGTGTCTCTCACCAGATACAGAAGGACAATTAAAGGCAGAATGAATAGAGACATCTTCCAAGAAACGTGGACCCCTTTCAGAGGAATGTTGCAGATCCACTGCTATATGGCAGGGCAAGCCAACATGGTGGTCCTCAGATGTTGTTGAACTCTAATTCTTATCATCCTTCATCATTGTCCATTCTGGCTGTGGCTGTTGGGAACTGTTGGGAGACTTGCCAACAAGAGTTCTATAACAGGGCATACAGTAATTCCTGTCCTCATTTTGAAACGTATAGGAGAAATATAAGACTTACAACTTCAACCATTAAGCATCCTTACCTTTGGGGGATAAGGCTATTGCAATGGCTACTAACCCCGATGACTCTGTTTTACCTTAACGGTCAGAGGCAGAAACGCTTCTGAATGCCAGTTTCTGGAAACTGAAGGAGGGGAGAGTACTGAAGACCTCAGATCCTGCTTGTGGGTTTTCTCTGGCTGGTTGCTGTGAGAACAGGATGCTGGACTAGATGGGCCTTTGACCTGTTCTGAAGGTTCTTCTGAGGTTCTGACTGAGCAGGAAGCCCCACTGAACTCAGCAGGACTTACTTCCATAGGGAAGAGGCTTACATGAATCAGAACACCTGTCCGTTTCACTCCATACTGTCTACCCTGATGGGCCGAGGCTCTCCAGCTTTCCAACAGGGATTGCCCGGGATTGAACCTTGGGCCTTGTGCGTGCAAAGCAGGTGCACTACCACAGAGTCATTGTGGCCCGTCCCTTGAAGGGTATACTCTGCTCAGCCTTTAATAAAGATAAGTGAAGGTTTGTAGTCTGTGTTTTTGAGATACTGAACAAAGGCACACAATTTAGGTGATTTAGCCTGGGTCAGACAGGATGTTTGTGGCAGAGCCAGAAAATGAGGGTGTATCTCCTGTCTCCCATATTCATGCCTTACCACAAGATTATTCTTCCTCTGACTCTATGACCTTCTCAGAATGAGTGGCTCATGTTTGTGATGAGACATGGAGCAAATGCACTCTCTAATCTGTGGCGTTTTAATTCTAAAATAATCACCCTGGGTGGTGTCCTGTTGCCTCTTTAATTATACATGTGTTTTATGTACAATTAAACTAACGAGAACCATCCTCCGTTCCTAGAACTGAACAGAAGCCAAACCTTTGTGGAGATTTGCTCAGTGACTTTGAAGTTTTCTGTTGTTTGTCTTTAAAATAAACCCCCTCACCGCTGCATATGGGCCATTTCTGATCGGGACAAGCGCCGCACATTAAATGCTCAGACATAATGAGCTTGAAGCAAGTTTCACTGCTTTGGAAGTCGAGATTAGCAGAGAGTGGCATTGCAAAACCAGTTCAAGTGGCAACTTGTTAATTTCGGTTCAAAAAGGAGCGTCAAACGTTTCACACTTCAGAAAGCTACTCCTTCAGCAAGACATCAGGGGGACGGTGTATACAGAACCATCAATGGAAATGGTTACTTATAGTGCAATGTAAACAAAAGACAAGTCTTTGCCCTGAGAACCTTCCACTGTAACCATCAGTAGAGTTAGATAACAGCAGCAGCGGGAGGTGAAATGGATGAGGAACATGTGGAAATGCAGACAACATGTAGGGCAGAGGTGGGGAACCTGTGGCCCCCAGATGTTGGAATCCAGTTGCCATCAACCCTAGCCAACAGGGCCAGCAGTTAGGGATTATGACAGCTGCAGTCCACAAACACCTGGAATTCCTACTTCATCGCATGATAATATTAATATTCACAGATACTGTTCCATGCTATTATATTATATGCTTGTTCAGGTAGTTGGAAAGCTCTGTATATTTTTTTAAAATGAAACTTGTGTACTGCCATGAAAATAGTATGGTTGAAGAAGCAATGAGATTGCACATGAAAGATAGGCTTTTCCTGATGATGGTAATGATGATGATGAAGAGTTTGGACTTGATATCCCGCCTTGCACTCACCTTAAGGAGTCTCAAAGCAGCTCACAATCTCCTTTCCCTTCCTCCCCTACAACAAACACAGGTGAGTGAGGCTGAGAGACTTCAGAGAAGTGTGACTAGCCCAAGGTCACCCAGCAGCTGCATGTGGAGGAGCAGGAAAGCAAACCCAGTTCACCAGATTACGAGTCCACTGCTCTTAACCACTACACCACACCAGCTCTCAAGAGACACTTCAGTGGAATCTACACACATATTAAAAAAAAAAAAAACACTGTGAAAATGCTTTTTAAGACAGTGGTAGGTAACTGCTAGGGCTTTGAGTTGTATCCAGTGTAGCAACTAAACAGCTTGTTCCATTAGTGCAAGGATTTATGCTTGTGTAATGAAATCCCATCTGTCCTGCCTCCTGAAACCCCCAAATTTGTTTTTGGGTTCCCCTGACCCTCAGGAGCAGATCTAGGGAGTGGGAGAAGGAGAGGGAGAAAGATAAATCTTTGCACTAGTGGACTGAGTGGCTCTCATAGCTGTGACAACTTCCCTCAGGGCCGGCCCTATCAATAGGCAGAGTAAACCACATTCGAGGGACATGCTTTCCCTCAGAGAATTCTGGGCACAGAGTTACAATTCCCAGCAATGCTTAATACACTGCCGTTCCCAGAATTCTCTGAGGGAAAGAATGCTTCAAACATGCTTTAAAAGTATAGTTTGTATGCAGCCTTAAAACTCACTATCTCCTGTACCTGCGGAAGGATTTTTTAATTTAAAAAGTAGTATTCAGTTCTGCACAGAGAGATTGTTTCACGTGCCTGCCTTTAACCTTAAAGAAAGTGGGGGCACTTCATGTATTTTGTATAGTTTTATTCAGGGCTTTTTTAAAAAAGCTTGAACTTGCCAGAACTCAGTTCTGGCACCTCTCAGGTGGGCACCATTGCCATTACAGTGGTACCTCAGGTTACATACGCTTCAGGTTACCTACGCTTCAGGTTACAGACTCCGCTAACCCAGAAATAGTACCTTGGGTTAAGAACTTTGCTTCAGGATGAGAACAGAAATCATGCTCCGGAGGCGCAGCGGCAGCAGGAGGCCCCATTAGCTAAAGTCTTGCTTCAGGTTAAGAGCAGTTTCAGGTTAAGAACCGACCTCCAGAATGAATTAAGTACTTAACCTGAGGTACCACTGTATAAGAGAACAAGGGAGGAGTTCATGGTGAGCTCTGGCATCTCTTTTTCTAGAAAAATATCACTAGTTTTATTGTTCTTAGTTGGGAAATTAGATAAAAAATATAAGAAGGAAAGAAGAAAGAAAGAAAGAAAGAAAGAAAGAAAGAAAGAGAAAAATGGGGAAGAACTAGCAGAAGAGATGGGCATCAGAAAGGAGTGAAGCGTATCATCAAGGAGTCATAGCAATCTAGCCAGATTCAGCAGCCTTCACATTTGATTCCTGAATGTAGTCTAAAATGACCCACTCCACAGAGGTTGATTCTTGTTCAGATTTTACTCAGTGCCTGCAGGCTTTCTCCTTTATGTCATGTCAGTTTCCAGAATTCAAGATAAAAATCCAACATAAGGAAAGAAACCCATGAGATCAAAGTTTGACACCTTCTTCCATGTTTTGATTCCCCTAGGAGAGGCTATTCAGAAGGTGAGACTGTCCATAGGCAGAAGAGGGCAGGTTCTTTGAACCCTTGTGACCTTCGGAGAAAGGAGAAGATCAGAAGGGAAACTTTGTGTTTGTTTGTTTTCCTTCATGTGGTGAGGGGTAGTGGCTGAGGGCACCGTGGGTGGCCCCCTGACATCCGATGGTTGATGAGTCTGGCAAAGCGTCCCCTTAATTCTAGAGTTCTGGGTGGGTTATGAAACTGAGTGCTGGCATGCTAGAGAGAGTACTTTGTTGGCATCTCGTTTCTTTGG